TTAATTACATGATTCCAAGAGCTGCTTAAAACAGCCCATCAGACATGAAGAGTGTTGTGAGAAAACCACAGAATTTGGCAATACTTTTATAAAAATTTAGTGTATATTTACTTAATTATATGTTTCTAAATCAAGTAAAATTAGAGAGGATTGAAACTAAGGAAACCTGAATAAATATATAAGCATGTCAGGGTATATTGCAGAGGTATCTATAATTTTATAATATAGGGGTTATTGCATTTGATCAATGAATTGGATTGATGATATCAATATCTATTTCAACTGTAACTTAACTACCTGGTACCTGGAAGGTCTGCATTCAAACCCAACATATCTCCCTGGCTTTGTTTTTTCTTTTTCCTTTTTTTTTTTTTTTAGTAGGAAATGTTACACCTCTGAGGGATGGACTTATGAGATACACAGTTTTTGAAGAGTGGAAATCCTTCTGCATAAGTATTGCCCCTGGGCAGGGCAAAGGATACTACTATGAGAGCACGATTTTTTTCTAATGCATGTTCTATTTCTACATTTTTACACTGCCATCCCTAATGTATATTGTGAAACTCTGCTTGATGTGTTGTTATCTTATCAGTGCCCTACTATAGCATATGGTATGTTGAGATAGCAGGTCGATGACATGGAAAGTGTTTAAATAACGTGTTACTTAACACTTTCTCTGTCATGAACCTGTTATTCCAACACTTTAGAGACACTAGCTGATCTCATGCTGAATATTCTTTGGATGTCCCCAGGCTTAGCTCTGGTTTTTTGTCCTGTTCCAAATATTTCAAATTTCACATATGTATGTCTCTGTCTGACTGTCTCAATATTTTATGTACACTGTTTTTCCACCAAATGGATCTGCCATTCATCATATTTGTTTAAGATACTGTATAACTTTCCATCCATCTGCTTTTACAAATATGCACACCTTATCAAAATCAAGTGAATCAAGGAAATCAAGTGAACAGCCTTCATTATTTGCTGGATATAATAAGTTGTGCTTATTTATATAATGTTTTCTAATGGGGCCAGATCATCTTAAATAATTTGCAAAAGACTTGAGGTTGCTGTGGGGTCTTTTCCTGGATGGGGAAAATTTTTCCTCTTGCAGTATAAACAACAATACATCGGTAAACTCTACAATATAATGCATAAAAGCAAGAGAAAATGCCCTAATTGTACTGTCTTTAAATTCCTGGATTTTGAATCCAATATGAATGTTTTGGAATGCATGTCCTGTTTTTTCATTGCTGTTTAGTTCTGTTTACTGCTGATACTTCTCTTTTGACTTTTAGATACTAGCATGGCAAGGTGTTGGTAAATAGTGTGCACCTGCTCAATAACCAAATAGAAAGAGAAGCAAATACTATCATAAACTGATGGAAAAGGTCACTGTGGAATTGCAAGTGTGAAACGTAGATCAGTAGAATACAGTTTGGATTTTCTGCCAATAGAGGAGGATGCTGATAATGAGTTTTCCCATAGTTCAGCCATGACTTAACGACATGTACAAGAGAAATACCTGTATCAATTAGCCTTCATTTTCTAATTCAGTTCTTTATTTTTCTGAAAATATTTCTCTTTGAAAGTACTCATCAAAATACAAGAAGGAGTTTTGTTGAGTGTGTTTCACCATTCTGATCTATACAGATATGTTTTAGTTTTCCAGAGAAGTATTTGCTCCCAGCAAACTGCATATGAGGGTCAACTATGATTTTAGAAGTTGAGGACTCTGACCCAATTCTGCAATGCTCAGGCATCCTTGTTTGGGCTCAATGCAATGAAAAGACAGGTTGTTTTGCCTCACGACATTTAAGTCTCAGTATCTCCTTGAGAGGGCCCTTAAGGAAGAATTTGGTTTGCAATCGGTTAGTCCGAGGCATCAAGTACTAATATTACCAGATCACAAACAGCTTTTCCCTCTTTAAGACAAGTTAAATTTCTTGTTATTTTCAGAAGCACATCCAGTTCTCAGAGGACTTGAGGGGGAAAGAAAGGTGACAGAGTCAGGCTTATTTCCCTCAAGTAGGTTCCTCATTCGTCCCTATTTATCT